TTGCTCACATCACTAACACACAAAATCAGCGATAGCAATGGTGACCAAGGTCTCACCAGAATCTTGTCGGCTTTGGCTTCGCTGATTCCTTTGATGTTCAGCAGCTCTTTCTTGGGCGCATATGCTACAGCCTCCACAGTGTGAAAACCACCATCCTCCAGCTTCTTAATGTCGCTGCTGCTGATGCCACATTGCTGCAGAGGTTTACAGCATCAGCACCTTGAAAAGACATTCAAAGAGCGTTTGTGTTTCTATCTGCAGCCGCAGTCGTACCTCCAGACGTGATACCGGTTGTGGCCCAAAATGTTCTTCCTCTTCACCTCCTGCCTCCACCCGGGACGCATTCCTCATAGCCATATTTACTGTTTCATAACACATGACACATTATCAGCTTCACAAAGTGAAAAGTTGGTGGAAACATTTGGGTCGCACTGTTTGTTTACATCTAAACTCAACATATTCTGTTACACCAAATACACAAAATAATGATCTTTTAAAAAAGCATCATATGACCCCTTTAACGTACATAAGTTAGTTCTAAATGAATGCATTTAGTAAAAACATAAAATTAGGATTCACATTACTTATCTATATAAATATAGATAATATAGATATTCAGTGGTTCACACTCTGATTGACAGTTATTGTTTTAATGACTTTTCCAGAGGTCTGTAACCATTAGATCAGTATTTACAAAAAAAATAGCTGAACAAAACACGATATTATACATGTCTGGACATGTAGCAAGGTATCATTTGAAACATCAAGGTATATTAATACATTAACAACCCTTACGTTGATGGTATCAGATGGTAATAATACCACAGTATTTTGATATATAGCAGAGTTTACATGGCATTCCAAAGAATACTGTGGTGCTATTAAAAGTATCATGGTATTACAATCGGACACAGTGTTTTCTAAGAATCAAAAGGACAATCGGCAAATGAACTAAACAAAAACAACAATTATTTATGAGTCAATTGCTAATAATGTGGGACATTAATTAATTAATCAGTCTGATAATGTGTTAGAAAAACCGCAGAACACACACAAACATCCTATCGAGCTCTAATAGTTACACACACACACACAATGTAAAGTCCTCAAACCTGTTCTCACACTGTTTTACTAAAAGTCATATAAATGTGTCAAAATAATCATGTAGAAGTGGAATTATTTCGTTGATTAAATCTTTAATATCGTGATTATTGTTCCGTCACTCACCCGCTAAGCTGCAGCTCCTCAGTCTGAATCTGAACTTTCCCGCGTGCCGCCGTCAGGCCACGTCCCCGACGTCATGACGTCATCACGTCATCGAGCTTTCATAACGTGAAAAGTGAAGTGACATGTGGCCAAGTATGGTGACCCATACTCGGAATTAGTGCTCTGCATTTACCCATCCAAAGTGCACACATACAGCAGTGAACACACACCCGGAGCAGTGGGCAGCCATTTATGCTGCGGCGCCCGGGGAGCAGTTGGGGGTTCAGTGCCTTGCTCAAGGACACCTCAGTCGTGGTATTGAAGGTCAAACATCATAATCATGTGTTAGAAAAACCGCAGAACACACACAAACATCCTATCGAGCTCTAATAGTTACACACACACACACAATGTAAAGTCCTCAAACCTGTTCTCACACTAAAAGTCATATAAATGTGTCAAAATAATCACGTAGAAGTGCAATTATTTCGTTGATTAAATCTTTAATATCGTGATTATTGTTCCGTCACTCACCCGCTAAACTGCAGCTCCTCAGTCTGAATCTGAACTTTCCCGCGTGCCGCCGTCAGGCCACGTCCCCGACGTCATGACGTCATCACGTCATCGAGCTTTCATAACATCATAATCTGTATAAAAAAAATCATAATCTGTATTTAAAATCAAGTTCTTCCTCCTACATTAACTCAAGGATTGATAACATTGATTCCAAAACCAAGAACTACGGTGGGCGAGAAGTGCTAAACAAATCACAATTCTGAAAACAAAATAACAAATTACAAACGCAAATGCAAGTCTAAAAAACAAAATAACAATTCAGAAAGCACAACAGCAATTCAGAAAACATTACAACAAGTCAGAAAACACAATGACAAATTCGAAAACAAAATAAGTCAGAAAACACAACGACAAATCAGACAAACTGGAAGAGGTAGGTATAGTTTGAGACAGCGCCATTGGTTTGGGATTACTCACCGCTGACTGAAGTGTATTGTATGAATTATCATCTGGGCAATTCATACAATACATTTAAACTGAGCTACTTTAATACCATCTCCGAACTTTCTACCAGGACTCTGCTGTTCTTCGGCTGGTTCTTCTCTGTATACGTTGATTGACAGATGTCTCGTCCAGTCAGCGGTGAGTAATCCCAAACCAATGGCGCTGTCTCAAACTATACCTACCTCTTCCAGTTTGTCTGATTTGTCGTTGTGTTTTCTGACTTATTTTGTTTTCGAATTTGTCATTGTGTTTTCTGACTTGTTTTAATGTTTTCTGAATTGCTGTTGTGCTTTCTGAATTGTTATTTTGTTTTTTATACTTGCATTTGCGTTTGTAATTTGTTATTTTGTTTTCAGAATTGTGATTTGTTTTGCACTTCTCGGCCACCGTAAAGAACAGATCCTCTGCTTTTAGACAATTTGAGACCTATTCTATTTCACTATTAAATAATGATTATATGATTTTTGCCCTGATATTTGCAAAACAGAATAAAATCAATTATGGACCCCCTTATAGATGAGGCCCAATCTGGCTTCTTAAAGAAAAGGCATGTTTCAAATAACATCAGGCTAATTTTTAGAATTATTGGGTTACTCTCATTTATGTATTTATTATTTTCTTAGATTTTTGTAAAGCCTTCGACACAGTGGAGCATGCCTTTATTTTTTTTAATTTTTCAGAATTGTACAGTTTTGTACTCAGCTCATGAATATTTATGTTAGATCAAGCCACTTTAAAGGTACAGTATATCTGTTGCCCCAGATGATACTGCACTGTTCTTAAAAGATCATCATCAGTAAGTCATAAGTGCGAATTGTTAAAGACTGTGAGTTACAACATATTGCAGTGAAGGATACTTGGAGATTATCACGAAAGATCAGAAATCTAGGTGTACAGATGAATTTTGAATCTACTCTTCAGAAGACCAAGGCAAAGTTGAATTACTTGGAGTTTTGTTGTGTAAAGCAGAGGGACTGGAATACTGCTTTGTTTCATTTTCTGTGGAGGAACAAAACACATTACATTAGGAAATCTACAAAAATGAATACACATGAATCAGCTGGATTGAACTTTCTTGATTTCTGTACTTTAAATAACACTTTTAAAATCAACTGGATTAAACGTTTCATTCTAAACCCAAATTGTTTATGGAATTGTATACCTAGTTTAGTTTTTTCCCAAATTAGGTGGTCTTAGATTTCTCTCGATTTGCAATTACAAAGTGGATAAAATTCCTTTAAGCTTATCCTGCTTTCATAAACAAATGTTGCTGGCTTGGTCCCTATTGTATAAACACACCTTTTCTCCCCATAGGTACCTAATTTGAAACAATTACAGTATAACATATAAAAATAAATCTTGATTTTTTTGAAAATTGGTTTTCAGCAGGCATGATACGAGTTAGTCAATTATTAAATCAAGAAGGCATGCTACTCACTTATTCTGAGTTTCTAGCTGTCCATGGAATTCCAGTAACACCAAAAGAGCTTTCTATTGTCATGGATGCAATTCCCTCAGGAGTCTTGGCTTTATTCATCAGAGCCAATTCCCAAAACAGGATTACACCCCCCTCTGCATTCGATCTATTTAATCTTAATATTGGGAAACTTTGTTTTGCCCCTGGAAGTATAAATGTTAATAAAACCATTCGTTCCTTACTTCAAAAAAAATTATGTTTCAACACCAACTGTATCATTTATTGGAACAGATTAGTTAAAGGTTTATTTGGACCTTGCCAAATACCTGTTGGTTAATAAAGTGAAGGAAGTAGCCTTTAAAACTTTACACAGATACTACCCAGTAAATCATTTTCTAGTTAAATTTAAAAAATGATATTGATTTGAATGGTTCTTTTTGTAATATGATGACTGAAACTTTGTTTCTTTTATTTTGGCATTGCTCCCATGGAAAGCTTTGACTAGATTTATATTTGATAACATTGACCCCACTTTTCCTTTGTGCTTAGAACATGTTTTATTTGGTTTTACTAATATCCCCTCAAATAACAATAGTTTTAATTTGAGCTAAATGTCATATTCTTAAGTGTAAGTACAGTAAAACAAAGCCTTTATATTTGGTTCTTGAAAAAGAAATTCAAATTTGTGTGAAGACAATTTTTTATTTACATAAGAAAGCAAGACGGTCTCCATTTGTGAGTCCTTTAACATATTTACATAATGTTTAGCCCACCCCCCTGGCTGTATTTTGTATATATATTTAGTGTTGTCATGTGTATTATCGTAGTTCTAACTGTACTTTGACTGTGTTTAAAGTTTAATAATAATAAATAAAATCATAATCTGTATTTGTTTTATTTTTGGACTTTATTTAAAAAAATATATGTTTGAAAGCCAATTTGTGAGGATATTTAAAATAGACCCCCCCCTCCCATTCAGAAAGTTTTTATCTTTTGCATAACACCATACTAGGCTATGGTTTTAATACAGGATCTTTTAAAGATAATTGTGCATTACATAGTACATCTGTGTAGGTGTAATAAAAACTCTGAGTTCATAGGTTATATTATTACTGAGTTTATGTGACTGGTCATCAGTAAAACGCATGTACACACACACACACACACACAGGTAATGGAAGCACAAGAGAAAGTTAAACTTGTAGAGCTGCTCAGAAACGACTAATATCAATTAAAGACAGAAAATATTCCTTTAAAATGCAATTCAATTCAGTTCAAACTCATGAACTGAAAGAGCGCAAATTCTGAAAGTTCAGAAAGAGTTACACATGTTACCAAATTTGCAATGGATTGACTCACTATAATATTACAAATGAATGTAAAATATCAATAGACAGATAAGACATTTAAAATCCACAGACGTAGAGGTGATGGTCAGATGGCTTTTTTGGTGTCTTCTGTTGGCAGGTCTTCGTATGGATTTTCTGTATTGGTGTCTTCAGTCATGTCGCTCTCTTCTGAAGCTGCTGAGTCTCCTAAGAGGCTGCTTGATTTCAAGTAATATATGAACAAGAAGAATCCTAGAAAACCATATGCAATTAATAAAAAAATGGATGTGATATTATGCATGTTTTATATTATATTAGAAAATAATTTTGATGTTTGAATGTTTATTAAAGACTTTTATGTTTACCAAGGCTGCATTTATTTGATCAAAAATACAGTAAAATGATAATAATGTGAAATATTATTACAATTTAAAATAACTCCTGCATCACAGGAGTGAATTACAAAACAATTATTTATTCAAATTAGGGCTGCATGATAAATCGCATGCGATATTTAACGCGCATCTTGTCAGAGAAGCCGGTTCTGTAATCAGTGGTAAATCTCCATCACGTGCGGGCTTTCACATTGAGCAGCATTAACTACACAGAGCCGTTGTTCACTGACGAGCTGCGCAAAAAATCGCACGAGTATGAACATGTTTTTGCGCAGCTTGTCAGTGAACAACGGCTCTGTGTAGTTAATGCTGCTCAATGTGAAAGCACGCACGATGCGCGTTAAATATCGCATGCGATTTATCGTGCAGCCCTAATTTGAATAAATAATTGTTTTGTAATTCACTCCTGTGATGCAAGGCTGAATTTTCAGCATCATTACACAAGTCTTCAGTGTCACATGACCCTTCAGAAATCATTCTAATATGCTGATTCAAGAAACATTTCTAATTATTATCAATGTTGAAAATGTTTTTTCAACATAAATCAGGGAGAGAAAAAAACAGCATATTACAATGATATGATGATCGCAGAAATAAATTTAATTTTAAGATATATTCAAAAGAAAAAAAATGTTAATAATATTTTACAAATTCACAATATTACAGTTTAATTGTATTTTTGATCAAATAAATGCAGTCTTGGTGAGCATAAGAGACTTTTTAAAAAAACATTAAAAAATAGTATTTATTCCAAACTTTTGACCGGCAGTTTCAAAAGACATTTTACACAAATATATGGTGAACAGGAATTTTGTTAATTTTGTTTTGCTCTAATATATAGAGCTCTAGTTTAAATAACATATCATAACCGTTATATCAAATCTTTCTTTCTCATTATTTTGAAACCTTTAGTCCACGTCTGTCAGCATTGAGGTCGTCGATACGCTAGTGCATCCCTAAAAGTTGATCAAATGATAAATATATGCATTTAAAATTAGCTGCAGAAGTGCTCTCACCTTGGAAGGAGTTTAGGATGGTGAATATGTAGTATGAGGGCAGACGCAGAGCTCCGTAGCTGAAAAAGGCAAAACTCCAGCTGAGTCCCAGCATACAGCAGAGGCCCAGGATGGTGGTGATGTCCGAAGTGGCAGTTCTTGAGCGCTGCACCTTTTCAACCTTGTTCAACCTGCTCAGCTTCAGCATGGAGAGCCATCGCAGCACAACAATGAATGTGCTAAAAGTGAAGATGAAGATGAAGCAGTAATAACCGATGTTCACGTAGTAGTGGACATCAGAGTCCAAAATCCAGCACCTGCAGGGGAAAAAAAGTGCAGATGGTTAAATTGACAAAATTACATGTATACAAATGTATATTCACCCTCACACCCATTTAGTAATTGTTTCTTCGTAGGAACAGATTTGAAGAAATTTAGCATTACATCACTTGCTCATCAATGGATCCTCTGCAGTGAATGGGTGCCATCAGAATGAGAGTCCAAACAGCTGATAAAAACATCACAATAATTCACACCACTCCAGTCCATCAATTAACATATTAATATTATGGATAGAGGACTCATATTTTGGCCAGAAGTGCTGGTTTAAAGTTAAATCCCCTTAAAGGGGTGGTTCACTGTTTTTTTTCTAGGCTTGATTGTGTTTATGGGGTGCAGTCTAACATGTGGTAATGCTTCATTTAAAAAAAATAAAAATAAATTTCCCCACATAATTTACCTTTATTCTCTACACCGCTCTGTCTCTTCTCTGATAAACGCTCCGATGAGTTCCTGTTTTTATGAAGCCCCTCCCTCAGAAATACGCAATGGGCTCAGATTGGTTAGCTGGCCCAGTGTGTTGTGATTGGCTAAACCGCCTCTAGTGCGCGTCTTAACGTCACGCCCCTCAGCTCAGCGGCATGTGCTCAGGTTATATTGTAAACAATGGTGTCATCTATATTGCTTATCAATTTGAGCCCGAATGAGACACAGAGGATATTAGTGAAGATGATCGCGTAGAACCTGTGCAAACACGGCTCTTACAAGGATGTTTCAGAATGGGATGTTTCTTTGTTTGTTGTTGTCTCATTTAGATACGCTGTTATTTGTAAATGCTACTGCTTATGTTTGCTTTTAATATAGGGTTTTATCCGGATTAAAGCTTTTATACAGCACGGCAACCGTATGCGAGTCCATGTTTAAAGCTTCTCATAGCTATGTGAAAAATATCTGTATGTCTAAACACAAAGTGTATAAATGGAACAGTTTATTGAAGCTGTGGCGAGCTGATGATCAGGCGATAGAGAGCGAGAGAGATGCAGAGCAGAGCGTGTGCAAAGCAGGGGGACGCGAGGAACAGTATTAAGAACCGCTGCTTTAGAACATTGATTTTGAAACTTGTGAATCCATTAGAATCGTTAGATGACAGAATTATTTCATGCACCCCTGGTTTTGACGGCATGGCAACAACTCTTCCTCTTCTCTAAAGCAGCGCAACATGGCCCAGGACATCACAAACCCAGGAAGTAGCTCATTGTTGTCCCTACCAGCCGTTTTTGTAGGCGTTAAACTGCCATAATTTTAAAAGACGATATCTCCGTTTGCATTGAACTTGCATCAGTGTCCTAACTTTGCAGATATTGTTTATGCTCAAACAGCAAAAGCACTAATGTTAAAAAAGTGAAATCGCAATCAACCACCCCTTAAATGTTTTGTTTCTTACAAACGTAACTTTTCGCTTCAAACAATGTTAATTGATAGACTGGAGTCGTGTGGATTATTGTGATGTTTTTATCAGCTGTTTGGACTCTCATTCTGACGGCACCCATTCACTACAGAGGATCCATTGGTCAGCAAGAGATGTAATGCTACATTTCTCCAAATCTGTTCAGATGAACAAACAAATGCATAATTTCCATCCTGGAAAGCCGGAGGGCGAGTAAATTTCCAGCAGTCTATTTATTTTATTGACTATTTTTATGCAGATAAAAAAAAACAAAAAAAAAAATCCATTGTTTATTTTAAAAGTTTACACATCTAATATTTTTTTCATAATGAGTAGAAAAACATACAATCTCAAGTTAATAGACAGTATTTTCCAGACAATATTTTAATAATGTTGGCTTTAGTAAATATAAAATATAACATGCAATTATTTAATTTTAAAATGCATTTAAAAAACCTAAATAAAGAACAAAGGATCCAAAGGGGATTTTCACAGTGATGCCATAGAATAACCATTTCTGATTCCCCAAAAAAACTTTCAGTGAAGTTTTTTTAGTGAGAAGAACATTTTATCTAAAAAAACGTTTTCCATTATAAAGAACCTTTTGTACATTAAAAAGTTTCCATGGATGTTAAAGGTTCTTCATAAAACGGTTTTCAATTCATAAAGTGCAGAGGTGGACAGTAATGAAGAACATTTACTTGATTACTGTACTCAAGTACACTTTTTGAGTATCTGTACTTTACTTGAGTATTATTTTTTCTAGAGACTTTTAACTTCATTAGGCCTACATTTGAAAGACAAATATCATACTTTTCACTCCTTTACATTTCTATCAAGGTCCTTGAAGTAGAAAGTTGTTACTATGTAGCAGCTTTGAAAGTGGGTGGGTGATTTTTTTCTTCTCTAAAAAGTGACGTTTTTTTCAGACTGTCAGTAATAACTAATGCAGGGCTATATGTGAAGTAATTTCCCAGCATTTTCTGAACACCGACCAGTTGCAAATGTGATATTTATTTGCACCAATTCAATTGTAAATGAAAATATTACCTATAGAGCCACAGAAAAACTGTTGTGCGTCTCCTAACAAAACACAGTATGTGTATGACTTGTTAAAGCAGTGTTGCTCTTGTAAAGTTATACAGCTACAATTGTGTTGCTGGGTTTTAAAGCAGGTTTGATTTTTCAGTGTGTATTTACAGCAATTTCACTGTCAATTCGGTTCAAACGTGGATGAATGGCTACACAGTGCACACACAGCCAGAGCTGTGTGAGATCACCACACTGCTTTTTTAAATTAAAATTTCCATAGTTTAACATTTCAAAAGCTCTTTATTACAAAGATACTACAAGCTAGTCAGTGTATTCAGAAATGTAGGCGTAATGTATTGTAAGTTGCTTCAGAAGGTATTGCAAGTATTACATACAACAATAATAAAATGCATTGGAAATTTACATTTGGTACTTAAATACTTTTAAAAGAAAGTACTTCTGTACTTTTACTGGAGTACAGTTGTCTTTACAACTTTCACTTGTAATGGAGTAATATTTGACCAGCAGTATCTGTACTTTCACTCAAGTAATGGAATTGTGTACTTTGTCCACCTCTGATAAAATGGTTAAGTGTTGGTTTTCATGCATAACATTATATGGCTGCCATTATATTTTAGGAAGGCCATCTCATCATATTTTGGGGTCCACTTACATAGTTACATTGCTTGTGTCTGTTGTTATGGTCTGCTCACCATATTTGCCCAAGACGTAAATGATACTGACAACAAGAGCAGGAGGAGCTGAAACAAATAGTTGACAATGCAATTATAATATTAGTAAGCAAGAAAGAGCCTTTAAATTTCTTGGGATTTTTGCCCATTTGATCATCTCTGATTGTCGGAGCACTTAGTAAAGTACTTCAGAATGCATATTTATGATTGTGAACTCACCCCAGCCAACCACAGAGATCTTGATGATGTAATGTTTGATGGTGACTGAATGTTTGGCCATCTGCAGGCAGAGGTGAAAAGCCTCCACTCCAAACCAGGTGAAACTGGATAGCAAGGAGTAGTGCATGAATCCAGCCATGACCTTGCAGGCAGTGATGTCCTTTGCACGTGCTACGTACTCATTTGACAGGAAGGCCACGTTGAGCAGAAACAGCGCCACGAAGAGATTAATCAGCACGTGGACTGAATCAGTGGCCTTCACTTTCCTAAAATTGATATTACAATTACAGTTTTTCTCGATTGCTAAAACACTATAACCAGGCTTTTGAACAAAAATTTCAAAAGCACACCCATTTTCTTAAACTATAAACACTATTCCCCTGCTTTGACACATGAGTCAGATTTGGTGAACTGTTATTGCAAAACTCTACACACAAATCCCTACATTTCTCATTGCGTACACCATGTGGTCATTTAGAAAGCACTAACATTCAATATTGTTCACACAGTTTGAGCTCAATTAGCACACAATTACCCAAGTGGAAACACTAGGAGTCAAAATTTATCACACACCCATCAATGGATAGAAAAAAGGGCCAAAGTCAGCTCATTCAGCTTTGAAAAAATGGATCCAGAGAGATGTGAAGGAAGAGGTTGATGACACCAGAGAGGAGGAGGAGAAGGAGTAGGGAGTGGAGGAAGAAATGAAGGAAGAAGAATAGGAAGTGGAGGAGGAGTACGGAGAGGAAGAGGAGAAGTAGAAAGAGGAAGAGGTTTTTGAACATCTTTCTGCCTGCATACTCTCCCTTTCTAAACCCTATAGAGGAGTTTATTTCAGCATAGCAGTGGAAAGTATATGACCGAGAATCTTACATCCGTGCAAGGATATTTTACCCCTGCTGCCTGGCCTGGGTCAATATAGCCTGTGATGTTGAGGAGGTTCTTTGACCTGTCCCAAACCAAAGAGGGGATGCTGGGGCAGAATAATTATTTTTGCTGTTGTTTGCTACATTGTACTGTACTGTACGGTACATTAAATTAAGGAATAAAACATGTTGTGCCTTTTAATGTGTTCATCATGTGAAAAGCTTTTTTTTTTTTGGTTCATAAGTAACAACTTATTACTGTTTTTTGTAGTATTGTTTTGAATTTATCTCATCAGTGTGTAAGACTGTGTTGTAGTGTGTGTGTGTGTTTGAGGGTTTGTGTGTCATGTCTTAGAGCAAAGTTTGTTTTTTCAGCAAGATTGGGTTGTTTTGAGTGGAGAGCTTCATTTTGACTTGAATATAGGAAGTTAGGGGAATTGAGTTAGAAGTTATGAATTTGTGTTAAGAGTTTCGCATACATAAGTAACCTGAGACGTTTTTCAGCAAGATTGAGTTGTTTTGAGTGGAGAACTTCATTTTGACCTGAATATAGGAAGTTTGCGGAATTGAGTTAGAAGTTATGGATTTGTGTTTAGAGTTTTGCAAAGAAAAGAGGCATAATTTCAAGAAATGTGTTTAAGCAATCGAGAAAAACTGTAATATTTCAGATCCATCACCTCAAAATCAAAGAGCCAGCCATTGTGAATTAAAAAATGAAGGATTATACTTGAAATCTTGAAATCTTGTTTGAAAATAATCAAGATTAAAACCATCATTTTAAACCGGGTTTTAATCATCAAGCATAGCGTTAGTTCTGGCAGGTCACGTTAGTCAAGCTCGCATCAGCTGACTCTCAGCTGATCCCCATCTACCTATAGGAATATGACACCTATCTAAGCATTCATATATATAAGGTCCCTCACGATTATCAGCAGTTTTCGCATTGCTCAATAGCTAATTACCCTCCTCCATCCCCAGCTCCTCCTCTGTCAGTCAGGATTCAGCCTTCTGATTCTCCTTTGAATCAGACTAATTCTAAAATGTGTACATAAAATTATTGAACTTTAACGATATCTGCAATACATTTATGTTGGTTCTGTTCTGTTTACCCTGGGGGATTATTGCTGCTCTCCCTGCTCTCATCCATGCTAGTCTGCATGTATGCAAAGGGAGTTCTTGCCCAGAACAGAACCATACCGCCAATCCAAACTGTACGCTAATTGTCAAGCATCTTTGACGATAGTGGTCCTGACAGAATTACAGTTATGTTGCATCCAAATTACACCCATTAATAAAGGAATATTCTGGGGTTTAGTACAAGTCAAGCTTAATCAGTAGCCCCTGTGGCATAATGTTGATTGATTCATTTCCACTTGATTTTTCCACATGATTTTATTGTATGAAAAAAAACTTTTCAATTATTCTAAATGTCTCTTATACCCACCAAGGCTGCATTTATCTGATAAAAACCCAGTAATATTTTGAAATATTATTACAATTTAATATAACTGTTTTCTATTTGAATATTTTTTTAAATATAATTTATTCCTGTGATTAAAGTTGAATTTTCAGCATCATTACTCGAGACTTCAGTGTCATATAATCCTTCAGAAAGCATTTTAATATGCTAATTTGAGCCCAAGAAACATTTCTTATTATCAGGGGTGCTACTACAGTTTCTACAGCAAGAAGCTAGAGCAAGTTGACTCGAGCCCCTCTTGGTAGAAATCGCATTCCGGGGCCCAGAATATATATATTAATCAAATAAATATAATATATATATATATATATATTAATCAAATAAATTCTTACCTCATGAGGAAGTGCATAAAGAGCCCAATGGACAGGAAAAACAAGGAGATGCCACAGCCGATGTAGGTGATGTAGGTGAGAGCGGTGAGGTCATTTTGGGAAATGGAGTGAGTTTTATTTGGAGGGATCTGTATTAAAACCATGTTTAGTTATACAGGACAATGGCAACCTTAAAGATTCAGTAACCACATAAAGTCTGTTGTGAAATGATTTTATCAACCACAAATAATGAACATAAATCTGAAGGCGCAAAATACACAATTTATATTTTCCCTCCAGCTCAATTTCACAAATTCCAGAAGGAAACGGAGAACCTACCATGAGCACAGCGAAGAAAGTCAAGTGTTCACATTTACATGTTATATTTTCTCCTTTTATAAGGGTACTACACCCTTCGGTTGTCCAGTTTGGCTGATGTCCTGAAAAAAGGAGGGACTGGTTAGTTTTGAGTAGATTTAGAGTGAATCAATGAAATTGACATTATGCTTTGGTCAGCATCATGGGCCAAAAGATTCAAACTCTTAACCTGTTCTCTTAATTTTGCTTAAGTACAAATCCAACACTGAAATTTAGCTCTCTGTGATACAGAAACTGACCATGCATTATTTTAAAGTGACATTTTTTTAAAGACAGAATATTTCAATGTCTGTGCTGTAAAAGACGTGCACAGAAAAAAATAATAATTTAACAAATTCAAAAACATTTAAATAAATAAACACAAGAGCATCACAGACCGTTTCCATCCCATGATTTACAAACAGGAGTTCCCGTCTGGTGCAGAGAATGATGATCTGTTTTGAAGGTCAAGCTGATGGCGTTACTCAGATTGGAAATTTCTGCGCCCATTTCGATTGCATAAACCTCGTCATTCAAAACTGTACTGTTCTCTGCATCCTTAAAATAAAAATAAAAGAGGATTGATTAGGTTTGTTTTATTGCTGAGAAACAGAATCGGGCTTCTATATAGAAATATGATGCCACAAATAAAACAAAAATAATAAGATGCAAATAAGGCCTATGTCAGTAAGTAAAACAACTCATTTTAAGAAAAAGGAGAAAAAAAATTGATATCTAAATGTTCAGGATATTAAGGATTATCATCCTACTTCATTATTATTTTAAGTCACATTTTTTTATTAATGCAGTTAAGTTTACAATGTCCAATTTGTAAAATCACACAAAAAAACTGCTTTGTGTTATAAACATGTCATTGAAAACTTGACTAAGCCTGTTTCTGATATTTCTTTATACCTTTGTCATGTTGGGAAAGCGGAACACACCCAAAAAAGCGTTTTTTGTGTTTTGCTTGAGCGCTTTCTTAGCGGCATCCTCTGGAATACTGAAAGCACTGGGGTAATTTTTCAGGGCGCCCACATCATCTAAAACCTGTAAACATATGAGATGTCCATGCTGGGGTATATTTCATGTTTTTAAGAGAAACATTTTTGTCTCTTAAACATCACCACTGTCATGCAAAGTTAAAAAAAAACACGTGTATGTCTGAAGTCATCTGTCCACTTACTCTGATGTCAGTTTCTGAAGAGTAGATGAAGTAGGACGTCTTGATTTCAGAAATTTTCTTTAAAACCCCTTTAACGTTACCCATGGATATAGAGGCAATGGTCAAATTCTCCATCAAAGACAGAATGCTGGAGAGATTTTTCATGGCCTCACTGAACGAGATACAAGATTATTTGTGATATTATCACTGATAGAGTAAATGGTTCAATTTACAGCCATTGGGACAGCAGGTATGATATAAAGGCCCGGTTTCATAGACAGGGCTTAGCCTAAACCAGGATTAGGCCATAGTTCAATTAGGACATTTAAGTAATTTTTATAAACATGCCTTAGAAAAAAGCATTACTGGTGTGCATCTTAAGACAAAACAAAGGCACTGACATGTTTTAAGATCAGTCAGTGCAAGTTTCTTTCAGTTGAAACAGCTCAGATTTACATTTTAGTCTAGGACTAGGCTTAAGCCTTGTCTGTGAAACCGGGGGATAGGGTTAGAAGAGAAAAATCCATTGTCACAAAAAATATACAGATTTTATACTCCATCAAAAATTATTTTCTCTTGTGTATTCATCAAATAGATTAATAAATTCAGCAAGTTATTATGGGAACTTCCTAAATATGGGTTGCAATGTTTGCATGTTAATGTTTGCAATTTTTTAAATTAAACTGATGCCTGTGTAACTAATATTACCACTAAAAATCTTACTAGACTTGAAACACATGTTTGAAAGAATACTTACGCAGCTGCACCAGCATCTGTTTCTGTTTTATTAGCATTAAATTGATCTGACATTCCTTTGGGTAAGGAGACTTCTTTCACCACTTGAAAAGGACTTCCACACTTAAAACAAGTTGCATTTTTATTATGGATCTCAATGTTGTTAATTTTACTTGCTTCACCTGCATTAATATCTGCATAAAAAAACATAAAAATAAAAACAATTAAAAAGTAAATCTGGAATAATTAAGAGCAATATTCAGCACTGGGTTTTAATGATACATTTATTCTGTTCTGAAAGTGAATAAAGCAAAAATAGGCACATTGTACAATATTCTTACCACTACAACTGGAATCATATTTTGCCTCCTGACACGTCTTTGTGGGATTCAGGCAGGTCATGTTACATACTTACATACACAAAACAAAAAAGAACAATATTACAAGATATGCAAATAATACAGCCATAATATTATATATACAAATACTTGATAAGATTAATGTTAAGATGTCTGTTAAATCTGTCACTGACTGTGTTACACCAGATTGGTTTACCACTCCACTTATAGGAATAAAAATTATTTTATACTGATATAATACTAAGTCATTTTTGGAATTATACTCACCATTATTCTCAAAATATTTGATGGTTTCATTGGTCCACTTACAATCTTTAATAAAGAGAACAAAAACATTTTCCTAACTATCAGATATCTGATCTGCAAAAAGCAGAACTCTTGTAAAACAGCAAGTATATAGTGAATAAATTGAAACTGAACATTTTAAAGAAACCTATTGTTGTCATATTTTTCTAAAATCACAGGCTATCAAATGCATAGAAGCAAAATGACAGATCTTTCATTTACCTCCCGTAATCCAGTCTGTCAAAGTGCCATTTCTGCATTTCCCTTCAATTAAACAGACAAATGTGGGTATAGCATATCTGCTTATATGGAGTTCGTATGGTGAGTATCTTGATAAAATCACTCCATAGTCTGCAAAACAACAGGTTAGAAAACAAGGTTACCCTGGGATAAAAATAAGTAACAAGTCACATTCATTTCTAAAGACAATCCACACATTTTCATTATTGATAGTGGCTCTAAGCAGTTCATCCAAAAAAGTCCAAGACACGAAAGAGCCCAAATATGTTCAAACCCACCGCTGCTGTTTGTTGGCGAAGTGTTTTTTGTACAGTTTGTATTTTCTTCGAATGAAAAAACAGTCATGCTGAGTAGTTGTTGTGTAGCGTTTACTGAAAAACAAAAGTTTTTTTTTTTTTGTGGCTAATGTCTTACATATTCACAGATAATAGCTCATCTTCCCCGATGCAAAATAAGTTTTTTTGGTTGTTCTATACTTTGTTGATACGAGTTTATGCAAGTTGTTTTGGCATGAATAAAGACAAAAAATAAAAATAAGGTGGTTATGTGGGGAAAATAAAGGTGAAAGTAATTTAAAATAACTGATGCAACTTGCAATAACTGGCTAATTCTGGTACATTTACAGGAATGTTTTATGTACAATGTCCCTGTCAACTAAATAAAGTAAAAAAAAAAAAATTCTTTATAATAATACTATAATAAGTTTGTCTATTGAGATGTTTTAAAAAAACAACTACTTTTTAGACTGTGAATGAACCACATGCCCACCAGTGATTTCTACATTTTGATGGAACTTTTATTTAGTTAAATTTTTTTTTTTGGTCCAAGTGATACAAAGAGAAGTGTGAAATGTTCTGATGCTGTTGGTCTAAATATCAGCACTCTAGAAAAGCTGCTCTGCCAATTAGTCTAAAGGACCAGAAATTAATGTTTTTATCCTATAATAAGAGCAAAAATCCAAACTAAAACTCTCTGACACTATGTTATGTAACATTGAGTCAAAGGCCATAAACCTGTGATAAAATATACAAATTAACTCAGTTCCAATCCAGTGAGGTACATTTACATTTCTTCTCGTAAGTCTGCTTACGTGTAATGTGTAATGTGAAACGGCTTATTCAGGACAGTACTAAATTAAAAAAAATATTATTTTCATGATCCCTCTTATTTTGTTACAATTATTAACATTTTGCATATTTTGCAAGGGGTCTGTAAACTTATGAGCAGAACTGTACATTTAGCTGATACTGTTATCAAAACGGATTTTAAAAAATTATGAAAAAGCACACAATTGATCAAAAGCAGTGCCACAATGCAAAATCTCAAGACTAAACCAGAGTAGAACAAAAGTGTACAAGTCATTAACTAAATCACAGTTATTTTTGTTTATACTCTTACAAAATAATTCCATTAAGAAGCTTTAACATACACGAACGGACCTTTCCACGTCACAAAAGTTTCTTTATAGTGGAAAAAGGTTATTTAGATTTTCAAGAAAAAAAGGTTCTTTTAAGAATTCTGCTCACCGAAAGGTTCTTTGGGGAACCCAACATTAAAAAAAAAAAAACTTTTAGAACATTAATTTGTAGGAATGTACTTATAAGATAACTGAAAAGAAATTCTTACCTGGTGAAGAGTCGTTGAGTCTTTCCAAATCATTCAACTCATCATTTCATCAGCTATACATGGTACATAATTTTGCATGTAGCATTTCCTCCTTCCCCCTGTGGTTTTCTGTTTTTGTTAATCACATCTCTGGATGCAAATAATCTGGAAGAGAACAGATGAGACCGAGTGGGATGAGACAGTCACTCTGAACAGCCATATTCTTTACTGTTAGATGATTATTCTATGACCTCGGTAAGCAAAAGAGTTTAGACAGGTTTTACTGGTTAATCTTGTAAAATTGCTTATAAATGTGTTTTTTATGCAACCGGACAATAACACATGTTGAGCAGCGTGCACATGAGACGACACATCATTATATGAACATGTGCATCGATAAACATTATAGAGAAGCATACAAGATGAAACTGTAAAATATAAATAATGTTCACTAGACATAAGTCATGCATTTCAAATGTTTTATGTTTTATATGAACAATTAATTAAAATAGCAATGGTATGAAATTGTGGTTATTTAATATTTTTGGAGTTTCATGAATTGTTTGTGCTTTGCTATACATTTAATAGTTTGCATTTTGTGGAAAATGTATAGCTGAATGATCTGTTATTCATTGGCAGGTTTGTATTGTGACTACTACATATGTTTGTGCTGCTGGGTCAACATGTTAAATGTTGGAATGTTTTAAAGTGGAAATGTTCGACTTTTTAAATTAACGTCTCACAGATTGGGTAAATTAAAGTTAAAGTGACTAAAAACGACCAAGTTTGTAACTGTAACTAATTTACCCAACATGACATGAAACATCACTGCTAGTTGCAGTTACAAACAGTAATTTTTAACTCTTTAAATTAATTAAACTCTCTGTGGCACTTTCTCTCATGTTGGGGTAAAAATGCAGAGTATATGACATTACTGATGTTTTGCTATCACTGTCAGATTCACAACCAAATAACAGTTATGTCCTTCTTATACGCCCTCAGAAGCATCTGTTGCTTGACAAAGCATTAGTAAAAATAAGCCACTTAAAAATAAGTTCATATCAGTATTACAGTGCGGTAAATAGTAATTCGTCTGTTTAACAAATGAGGTGTGTCACAGAGGACATCAGCCAAACAAATGAAACCTTGTGAGTTTACAATAATGTTGGACAGACACATTTCAAAAGGCTTTGTGCACATATAGTACATATGTAGATGATATATACACTCTAAAAAACGTCTCGGTTACGTATGGTAACCCTCGTTCCCTGAAGGAGGGAACAGAGACGTCATGTCGGATGACCGATGAAATTGGGATCTCGCTTAGAGAGACCAATCTACTTCGAGTGTAAACTAAACGAGCCAATGCACATTTGCATGCGATTATTGCATCCAGTTGCCGCTGATCACAGCGTGAGTATAAGTAGGCAGCAGATGCAGCGCATATTCAGGTTTTCGC